ATCATCTGCATATCTGAGGTTGTTGATATTTCTTCCGGCAATCTTAATTCCAGTTTGGGATTTATCCAGTCCTGCCTTTCGCATGATGTATTCTACAAATAAGTTAAATAAGCAGGGAGACAATATACAGCCTTGTCATACTCCTTTCCCAATTTTGAACCAATCAGTTGTTCCATATCCAGTTCTAACTGTTGCTTCCTGTCCCACATATAAATTTCTCAGGAGGTAGATAAGGTGGTCAGGCACTTCCATTTCTTTAAGAACCTGCCAAGCAGAAGTAGATGTTTTTCTTGAACTTTCTGTCTTTCTCCATAATCCAGCGCATGTTAGCAATTTGGTCTCTGGTTCCTCTGCCCCTTCGAAATCCAGCTTGTACTTCTGGGAGTTCTCGGTCCACATACTGCTGAAGCTTACCTTGGAGGATTTTGAGCATAACCTTGCTAGCGTGTGAAATGAGTGCAATTGTATGGTAGTTGAAGCATTCTTTGGCACTGCCCTTCTTTGGGATTGGGATGTAGAGTGATCTTTTCCAATGCTCTGGCCACTGCTGAGTTTTCCAAACTTGCTAGCATATTGAGTGTAGCATCTTAACAGTGTCATCTTTTAAGATTTTAAATAGTTCAACCAGAATGCCATCACCTCCACTGGCTTTGTTGTTAGCCAAGCTTTCTAAGGCCCACTTGACTTCGCTCTCCAGGATGTCTGGCTCAGTTTGTAACCTTGGTCCTTGAAGCAGAATCTCATGGCCTGTGGTTGGGTCATAGCTATGAAGATGATACTGATCCCATGTGTCAGGATTCTGAACATCGAGCAGAATTCTGCTTTACATGGAATTCCATGGACATCCTACAGAAACAAGCATGCTGAAATAATTTATTTTTCAGCAGCAAACTTATAAGGATAGACTGAGCATTAACTGGCAGTTGGCTCGTTGTCAGTGTTTGTGCTGTTTGCTTTGCTTTCCAGGCCATAAGGGTAAACATTGCCAGATATGAGAAGATACCTGGGGCGAGCATCATATACTGGATAATGGCCAGTCAACTCAATAAGTGATCTACTGCAGCATTTTCCAATAGGGATAATTATATGCTGTCAGCACTCTTTATGACCAAATAATAAGGAAAGCAATGATTCATGGGGAAAAACTTTTGCATTAAGTATCTATGTGCAAATCCTGGGAACTAGTTTCATGGTACACTTCACAGCCAATTTTATTATCATGTTTCAAGGCTTTGGGAGTCCAGACAGTTTGAACAAAAGAAATTACTTCATTTCCAGTAATAAGTTATTGAAGCCTAAAAATTGCAGAATAACAGAGGAATGTATGCAGTTTGGATGTGTTTCACTTTGAAACATATGCCTAAAATTTCACTTTGAAATATATGCATAAAACATATGGCATGACTGTAACACCGTCCTCTTCAGAATGTTTTAGAAGCACAGACAAGGTAGCAAATAGTGGGAGATCTCTGAAACCTTCTCTGAACCTTATGTAATAATACAGCAAAGTAATGGAACCTCCTTGATATTTACAAAAATCTTTCGTGACTTAGCCTTGGTTGGTCTTAACTGTTATGAGTTATATATTATACGTTGAATATTCTCCTTTTTAAAACTTGGCCTAGTGTTACATGCTTTTTTATATATACTTATATCTATGAATGTGTGAGCCACAGGATGAGCTTTGAAAAGTTAAAGGTACCATGTTAACAGGTATTTGAAATTGAAATTAATGTTAGGTTTTAATTATACATTTTGCAATTAATGTGTCATTATCGTAAAACATTAGTGATGTCTTACTATTAAATTATATTCAAATACAGTGGTGCCTCGCTTAGCAATTGCCTCGTTTACCAATGTATTTGCTTAGAAATGGGTTTTTTTGAGCAATTTTATGCTCCGTTTAGCGATGTTTCCTATGGGGAAATTTCACATAGTGATGTTCAGGACCTTGCCTCGCTTAGCGATGACAGTTTAGGTCCCCCTCTTTCGCTTAACGATGCCCGTTTTTGCAATTTTAAGTGTGTCTTAAAATGTTCGAAAATGTTCAAAAACGGTTTTAAATGCTTGGGGTCGTTAGTGCACCTTGCAAAACCTGTGCAAACTTAATTTGGCTTTGTTCTGAGTCTTCGTTAATTTTTGGTGAATTTTTTTCTCCCCCATTGGAATGCATTGAACTGTAGGTTTGACAGACCTCCCACCCACCCCGCACGCACTGCCCTCCCCACAGCTGCTTTGCGCACGCGTGCCAGAGCTGGCGTGAGCACTCCCACCACTTCACGCATGCGGCTGAGTGCCCACGCGAAGAGGCGTGCAGGTGCTCCTGCACATGCACAAAGGGGTGGGGGAGCGTTCATGCTGGTGCTGGTGGGCGCACACGTGCTCCCCCACTGCTTCACACATGCACCCGAGAGAGGGCACACACCCCATGAGCGCGAGAGGGTGCCCCGCCGCCTTCAGAGGCTGAGCCATTCCACAGTCCCAAAAAGATTGGTGACCGCTGCCATAGGCCATGGGCATAGTCAACATCCAGGGTGCCCTTTGCAATGTAAAGCTTGCCATTTTTCTTCTTCTTCTTCTGGGAGCATGGCACAATATTGTACAGCAATATCAGGCCATTTCTTAGTGTTTGCAATCATGGATACAGAAACCCAATATCTTACCTTCATATACTGGAGGGGGTTTTGAGGAAGTGAATGTTCTTCAGATTGTATAACCTGGACTTCTGAATTTTGCTTCCATTAAAAATTCAAAGTCAGAAACTACTTTTCTGAGCTAAATGCAAAGCTTTCTTCCCAGAAGAGCCAGGAGGTCATGAGAAATAATGTGACTTAAACTTGTCTATAACAAATGTGTACTCTGAACTTGTAATAGACAAAGCCACCCTGCCTCAGCAGACACATGCAGAAAGAGCATTAATGTACAAACAGGCACTATGCCTATGTCCAGTCCCTATCATGAAATGATATATTTTGCTGGGTCTGGGAATAAAAAGGGAAGTGCATTGTCCTGCTGATAGATTTATTATTTGCCTTTGTAGACAAAAAGAAAGCTCAGACAAAAGCTTATTTTGGAGTCCCCCCAAAGTTCCCCTCTCTTATAGACCATGAGTTTAATTTGTCTGACATTCAATTAAAGAAAGGCATGCTGCCATAATTAGTTTTATATTCCCTCTGAAAAACTTCCAGACTTTGCTTTGAATAGACTTTCTCATCTGTGCCAGGCGGTTGGCGGTTGGTAGTGATCTGTTATACAGAACGGGTTTAGTAAAGAGTCAAGAGTGGGAGCAGCCATGGAAGCTATAGTGAATATGGAGAAAAGGAGGCAGCACCAAACACAAGGAAACTACAAAAAAAAACCCAAACAAGCAGGCAAAAGAGGCGGAGACACTAAGTGTTATACCTACAGTAACTTCAAAAAAAGTTGTGTAAAACAGTGAGATGCCCTGTGTATTTTAGTATCAGCTTTCTTCATGGCCACACATTACTGATTGAAGGAACCGAAGTAGTAAAGATGAATAGCTATGACCCAGAAGTATACTTCAGTATCAAAGCCAGGAGATTTGGAACTTTCTTCTCCTGCCGCTCCTGCTTTCACTCTCTGTGGCATCAAAAAGCTGCTCCACAGGATATCTCAGAACTCCAGCTTCTAGTGCAGCCATGCTCAACCTTCCTTTGGCCATGACCATAAACAGATGAAAGAAGCATAGGCCAAATCAGGATTGTACAAATCGCATAACAAACTTTATAGGGTGGTGTGTGAAGTACTGTTCCCAGTCTGTGAATTCCTTCAGATTTGCCAGGGCTCCGCAATGGGCCATATATCCCCTGTTGAGAATGGCTGTTCTAGTGTGTGTGTGTGTGGGGGTTCTCTCTGGTTCTCCAGATACATCATTGAGTCCTCAGCTATATTTGTTGTTTATTTTCAGCATTTTAAAGGTAAATTTGTATATTATGCCAGGCTTCTTTCCTCCTGATGTTCAGGAAATTACTGAATACAGAATTATACAAAGATGCTTTCAATAATTCATCTCCTGGATGCTGTTAATATTAATATTATTTTTTAATTTTTTTTCTTTCTTGGTTTTATTTTTCTTTTGTATGAATTTTAACCCAGGTCTTTAAATCACCATATTTAATGTATTGTTATATAGGGCCTTGTGGGTTTTTAGTTTTAATCGCTAAATTGCCCAGGGTAGTTCTAGCACTAAGGGGCAGCATATAAATCAAATCAATCAATATATGTTTGAGTAAACTGTGATTTATGAGGTTGAAATCTTACTTTGCTAAAGAACGTCACAACCAGAGTAGAACTATTTGAATCAACAAAACCTAAGGAGCAGTTGACTCACCCAGTCCCCACTGATTTAGGTTTAACTTGTAAAGAACACTATGAAATTCCCTCTTCCACACAGCTATTAAAGGCACAGGAGTCCTCTCTTTCTGGTGCACGTATTCTTAATATTTCATAAATTAGGAACAAAAGAGTTACGGCATCTGAAAGACTGACAAGTTCGTTCCATGCTGAAATTTACCAACGTGTCTGCCTTACCAGAATCAGTTATTTATTAATTGATTTATTGATTTATATCCTGCTCCCATTAGTGCTGAAGCATTACTCTGGATGGTTACAAAAAATAATACAAAACAAAAAATAAAGATAAAAACATTAAAAGCAACATTAACAAATAACCTTTCAAAACAGGTGGCACAATTAAATCATGTTTATTTCATTATACTTCATGTAAGTCTATTAAAGTCAAACTTGGGAACTGAACACTGTAATGAGCCTATCACTAAATAGTCATTGTTTGCCTTTTCTTTCAGAAAAATTGTACAACTCAAATGGACGGGAGCTGAGGCGGGCCCTCTTCTCCTTGAAACAAATATTTCAAGTAAGTGAACATCCTTCAACATTTATTTTGTGTTGATCCAGGAATTGTGGCTTCAGATTTTTCCACAATGTCTTTGATTCTAAATGACTTTCATTTATTCATTTTTCTTTAGGTATATATTTGTTTCATATCATACCTTAGAACATACAGTATTGGCTAGCATTCATATATTTCGAAAGAAAAACAGTTTTGGAAGAAGCCATAGGAACAGGATAAAAAAAAATATATAGTCAATAAACCAAAGTCCTGCTATCATTGAACCTAAAAACATAGCTTGTTCATGAAATTTATGAAGTTGCACTGAGAGACGTGAAAATGCCATTTCCCCTTTAGCTGTTTATTGGATCCTATAATAATTAAATCTTTGCATGCTGTCAAGTCAATTCTGACTTATGGTGACCCTTTCCAGGGTTTTCTGGGTAGAGAGTACTCAGAAATAGTTTACCATTCCCTTCTTCTGGGGATATCCTGGGACTGCAGCTTGTTCAAGGCCATGCAGGCTGGCTGTTCCTCTAGGGATGCTCAGTGGCAAATCAAACTGCCAACGTCTGGCTCTGCAAGTCAGGTACCTAAACCACTGAGCTGTCCAGCCAGCTCTTACTGGATCCTAGGCTGGTGAATATAAAGCTTTCTTTTCAGCAGGTTATAGGAACCCAGGCTGTCTGTGGCCAATAATAGCATCAGCAATAGGGTAGAATCAGTATTTAAGAGAAGACAGAAATGCATTGTATTTGAAACTGCTTTCAGTTTTCCAGTGTTTGGGGGTGGCACTCTTGCCCTTTAAAAAGTACCATACTTTGGGTGACAAACAGATGATCTCACAAGCATGACACCAAAAGGAGAGACTTTCCCTTAACGACCATTAGTTGGGGCCCATGGTTGTTTTAGGGACATGGTGGCGCTGTGGGTTAAACTGCAGGAGCCTCTGTGCTTCAAGGTCAGAAGACCAGCAGTCGTAAGATCGAATCTGCGCGACGGTGTAAGCTCCCGTCGCTTGTCCCAGCTCCTGCTAACCTCGAAGTTTGAAAGCATGTAAAAATGCGAGTAGATAAATAGGTACCACTACAGTGGGAAGGTAACAGTGTTCCGTGTCTAGTCGCGCTGCCCACATGGCCACGCAAACTATCTTCGGACAATATGCTGGCTCTACGGCATGGAAACGGGGATGAACACCGTGCCCTAGAGTCAGACATGACTGGACTAAATGTCAAGGGGAGCCTTTACTTTGGTTGTTTTGCTTGATGACAACCTTTTGGAGACTCCCTAATCCCTGCATTTAAAAAAAAAAACCTTCCCTTCCTTAGCTGATGAAATCCATCAAATCTCAAAAGATTATATGCATGGATTAGGGTATTTTTGTTTTGTTTTCAGTAGAAGGTGTGTATTTAATCAAACTCTTTAAAAGTGTGGTATAGAAAAACAAAGTCCAATAGAGGCTAAAGTTACAATAATATCTTACAAGGTCTCCCAGCCCTCCAGAGCAAGTTTTACGGGTACATAAGGACAGAAGGACAACAAGGGAGAGGGGAGATCTCCCAGTCCTTTCTCGTTAGAGCCTTCATGTTGTCCAAGAGAAAATGCTTTCCAGAAATAGTCTGCTGTATCCCTGGAATCCTTGAGAATGAAAAAATGTGGACTCTACTTCTTATCTTAGCACACCATGACTGTTCCCATAAATAATTAAATGGCACATGTATACATACTGAAGGCACAGGTTCCATGGCTAAAAATAAAAGTGATTAACTCACATTTCTAACTTTGCTACGAGGGAGGATGCTTGAAACCACACATCCCAACTGAATTTAACTCACCTCATATAAGCAGACTTAGCATGGACATCTGCCATGAGTTTTTGGGACTCTGATTTACAATTTTTCTGCACTATCCATTAAGGGGGTGGTGCCCAGACTGAGGAAGTGGGATTTTACCAACAAAACCCTACAATTTGTATGATGTTTTTAATGGTTCAATAAAGGCATCACCCTAATCTTGCATTTGTGTAATTCTGAACCACATGGACTTTTCCTTATTCCATCATTGTTACAGTTATTAAGAGGTATTTTACATATTTGGTTTAATCTTGTATGTGTCTGAGAGAAGGCTTTGTGTACCTTGCTGTGACGCTTGCACAGTACACAACAAAATTTTCACTAATATCTCATTGTCAAACATCTGTGACTTGGCAGTTTAGACTATAAAATGGAAATCATGTGTTTGCATCCTCTTCTACCTGAACACATACATGCACGTAACACAAAATCAGAAGCCGAATCTTTTTGTCTTAAGATGCAAATGTTCAGGTACATTATTCCCCTATCTGTAATAGCAAGTTTGGCAACGGCAAAATTTTACTCCAAATGTGTACCTAGCGTGAAGTTACACTTGAGGATTGAAAGAAATAAGCAGTGGTAACTTAAGAAAAAGACATGTTATCACTTTGTAATAATAAACGAGACATGCAAATAGCCCAAATTGTCATTGTCTGACTTTCTAACGTGGCATTTCCTCTACCTGACTGTTTGTAATCCAGTTCTAGCTATTATTTTTGTTCAATTTTCCCTCATTATTATCATCAGTCTGTCAGGACCAGTTCTTGGATGAACTTTAGCAGTTTCAATTATGTATTTTAAGGTTATTGAGATAAAATCATTTTATTTCAGTAGTTTGCAAATTTAACTTCCTCTGTGCCAGCGTCTTGCATTGCAACATCATAGCATGGCTTAGGGGCACAGCCAAACAATGATGCTTGTGTCTCAGCATTAAATCAAAATTTTGACAACATGCATAAAGAGACATTTCAGGTTCCTTCAGCGTGCCATTCAGAGTTCATTCCACACATATGCATATGTTTAGGCTTGTCTAACTTAATAATAAAAGAAGATATCAAGCATTCATTGCATCGTGACAACATTCCCAAAACATTAAAAGAAAACACAGCTCAGATTCATTTTGGAATACTGTTAAAAGGCAAAAAAATTAATATGTGCTGCTGCCAGTTTTTTTTTTTTTTTAAATCATGTGCTCTCAAGTCATTTCCGACTTATGGTGACCCCTTTCAGGGTCTCCGTGGTACAGAATACTCAGAATACCATTCCCATCTGGCAGTTTGCAGCTTGCCATGGCTGCACAGTCTGGCTCTATTCATAGGAACTACATTGGGGAATCAAACTCCCAGCTTCTGGCTCCACAGCCAGATACTTAAACTACTGAGCTAGTCAATTGAAAGCCATTGAGAAACCCAACATTTTGCAATTAAAAGATGTATATCCCTGCCCAAGGGGACTTTTCCCCAAACATGTTTGCAGTGCATTTACATGCATTATTGTCTTTATAGGCAGCACTGTAACCAAAATATGTGCTGGCTGTAGGTGGATAGGATTAGGCACAGGATTAGGCTTCCCCTTTCTCCCAGGGGAAACCCCCTTCTACTTGCAAAACAAGCCTCTTCTGCTGGCAATATGGCAGTATCCTGACAAAACTGCACTGCTGTAGAAGAGCCAAATAACCGGGGGGGGGGAGGGTTTGTAGTGGAGAAGGAGTGTGACAAAGGATTCGCTGAGTTGCACAATATCCAAACCTATTCTACCTCAGAAAGACAGCTAGGACTCAGGGACAAAGTTGAGCTGGAGGAGCAGTCCTAAGTACAGTAATTTCCAGCATTTCAAGGCTAGAGTGTCTTGAATTCAGCACGGCTTCAGCTGGCCTTGCATTGGCACAACTGGCCCTTTGTCATCTTGGCTAGTTTGACTTGCGCTCATTGCTTTTGATGCTTTCGATAAAAGTTTTTTTTCAAAATGATCCAAGGAACCTAAGCCCTTTGTTTCCTACTTACACAGCAAAATGTGATTTGAAGAGGGGGGGGGACTGGCTTAATCCTTCCTTCTCCCACCACCTGATTTGCACAGTTAGCAAATAGTTTGCATGATGTACAAATTATGACACCCATAATTTGTGGAAGTGGAATATGGCAGCCTTGTTTCCAACATTTTTCAAGCAGCTCTTCTCCCCTCTGTTGTAAAGATTCACTTAAAAGAATCTTATCAGTGAGAGAAATCAGTTGTCACACACTTCCCTCCTAAAGAGTCATCAATCATCCCCAGCAGAGGAGTATTCCCCAGTTGCTTCATTGATCTTGAGGAAGGAGATGGGGCACACATAACACTTCTTTCATACAAAGAATGATAGATAACCCTTGAGGGACTTGAATCGGTGACAGTTGATTTAAGGGGTCCAGCTGTAGTTTGCAGATTATTCTATAGCTGACCATGATGGCTTTAAACCCTTGGAATTTAATCAATAAATTATTTGGGTCCTGTTGCACGGAGGAGGAAACAATTCCCCCCCCACACAATTGCTCCTGTGATTTTTAAATTCCATTTTTCTTCTCCCTGCTCCCTTTTTTTTTCATTCTGAAATCATTCTTTAGAAATAGGTTGTGTTCCAAGTAGTATTTATTTATTTATTTATTTATTGCATTTATATGCCGCCCATCTAGACATAGTCTACTCTGGGCGGCTCACAACATACAAGAAAAAAACAATTTAAAATATACACAGTTTTACATAGATACAAACAAAACAATGTAAAATATAATATCGTAGATTTACAATTTAGTAAAGTTCATTTTGCATATAGGATTCTGTGTAAGCCAAGTAGCTGTAGACCATGCTACTGCATGAATTAATTCTCTGTATACCATATATTCCATCTGCTTATGTCTTAATTAGCATTATCTGGATCAAGTACTTACTCAGGTACTTACTACCAGTTCTGCATTTCTACACTAAAAACTGTTACTGGTGTAATACATACTTACATCAGTTTTAGAAGTAGTTTACATATGGAGCAAACTACTGTTTCAGGCAGTGATTCCCAAACTGTGTGCTGCAGCACACTGGAGGGTTGCCAAACCCAGCCAGAGTGTGTGTGTCTTAGAATCACCTCCTACTCCCTCCCACCACCAACATGACAGCCTGAGCTGAAAGCAAAAGGGAGGGTGA